CTCAGACGCTTCGACCCCCCCCCGAACTCCTTAACCCTCCTTCCTAGACCCCCTCCGAGTTACTCGACTCTAACGACGCGGAAGGACTCCTACCCGAGTAAGAGGTAGCTAGTTAAGAGGAGGACATCCCGGACGAGGACAGTCTTTATAGTGTCAGCCTAGGGAGCGATAATGACGAGCTAGACTACGTGACCTTTACCGCCGAGAAGCTCCTAGCCTAGTTCCATTTTAAAGGGCACTACGGATGTACGGTCGAGAAATACGCCTCTCTCCTATAGCAGTACGAGGAGGTCGTCGGCGACTAGAAACACTACGATCTACTCTCTTATTTCCTACGCGCCTATTTCCCCTCGGTCATCCGGCTAGACTACGACCTCGACCAGCTCCTAACGCGTGACCAGGCGCAGGCCGATTTTACGCCCTCGGCGGTATAATAGGAAGAAGCCATCTACGGCACTGGTCCCCATCAACCCTTCCCGCGACATATCTACCTCCACATGTACACTACCCCCCCTGCGGATCCCGAGGTCTCATCCGACATCGATAGCTTCCTCGGGTTCGCGACGTCCCTCGCGTTCGCCCGAGGCGGGTTGAACGTCGATCTCGCCCTACGCGTATACCGGAACATCACGACCGACGTCTACATCACTAGTACCGCGTACCGCGAGGATCCCGTCCCACCTCGGGAGGAGGACCGAGACGAGGACGAGGGCGACCCTCCACGCGCCCGGACTACTACTACCCTCCTCCGTAATATCCCTCACTTCTTCGCCGGGCGCCTCTTTAACGCTCGCGACATCGAGGTCTACTTCCTCTTCCCGCACCTACCGGTCGACGGGGAATTTATCGGGCTAAAGCAGTAGTAGTTATACCGCTAGTTCGACCGCATCTTCCTCCCGGCCCTCACATCTATCGCCCCCGCGTACATCCTCTAGCACATCCCTAGGTCGCTCCGGCAGGCCTAGGCTAACTCGGTCGCGGCGTAGGTCGAAGGGCGTAAGGCCACCACTAGTAGCTACTAGAGTGCTCAGGCCATCTACTACACCCTCTAGGCCTACCTCCTCGCCCCCCTCTAGTCCGCCATCCTCGAGTTGATCGAGTTGCAGCCCGGCCTCTACGACTTTCGCGACCTCTAGATCTTCTTCAGCGCTAAAGGGACTAAGCTCGCCTTTAAGAGTCGCTCCCGTGACACTACGAGCGTCCTCGACGCCCTCTAGGAGTGGCATACGTGGATCTAGGGAGTCCTATAATGGGAGTACATCGACGAGGACTAGCTATACCTCGACCTCGGGCAAGAGATCTATATTCCCCAGCCCTCGACCGACTCGAGCATCTCCCCCACCCCCACGACGTACCTATGGCGACGGTGTTACCTCGAGTCGTACATCCGCTAGCTCTACTAGGAAGAACGGAAGACCCCGTCGTACTAGGGGTCGGGTACTCGGTTCTATACGCAGTCTATGCTCCGCGACGCCGTCTCCGTCACGAGTATCCCGCCTAAACGGTCGCGGCTCTACCGGGGGGGTATTCGCTACATCTAGAACTATAACTCGGTAAAGGAGGTGTTTGACGCTAATAAGCGCATGCCCTTCGATAACGACGCTATTAAGGAGCTGACGGTCGACCCCTTAGTTAGTAACACCGCCCGCACCCTCGCTAGGGGGCGTCCTCGCGAGAGGCGTGTCCTCCGCCGGGCGTATACGTAGAGTCGGTACCGCGCCCGCGTCAACCTACACGATAACCGCCGCAAATACTACGGTATCCGGTAAGAGGCGCGCATCACCTACGCGTACGCGGTCGCCATGATGGACATCCTCCATACGCACCTCCCGCCCGCGACGCGCCCGCGCCCCCTTCGAGGCCACCCGCCGTACGTCTGGACGATCCCCACGCCGACCTACTTTCGCTTCCTCCGCTACTACATCAACCGGTTCGCCCTCGGCTTCGAGCTCGTCTACGCCCGCGCGCTCCCCTACGCGACCACGTGGGAGCAGACTAAGATCATGGCTATGTTCCTACGCTATCTTCGCTTCGCCCTCGGCGGGTAGCAGCTCTCCCGGGAACCCGCCCTCTAGTACGGGCGACGGGACCTCCCCCCGCGCGAACCGCGCGTCGACGTCGGCGACCCGGGTACGGACTACCGCCGCAGCTAGGTCGGCCTCGGATTCGGCTACACCCTCCCCCGCTACGGATTCTGCTGGGTCGAGCCGCGGATCGACTAGACTAGCCTCGAATTCCACCGGGACATCACCGACCTCGTGACCTTTAGTAACTCGACCCTGCGCGACCTGTACGTCCGCCGCGGTGGTGCCGTCCGTAACTTCTTCGACTACGAGCGGCGACTCGACCTCGCCCTCCGTCTCCTCGAGGAACACGTCGACTACGTCTTCATCGCCCAGCGTCTCCTCTAGTGGACGGTGTACATCTGCCTCGAGCAGTTTCGGATCGACACCCTCTATACGGTCGAGTACGACATCCTCCCCGACTACGTCGAGGAGGCCCTACAGAGCCCGGGCCCCTTCTACTACGAATACTTTCGCCGCATTATATCGACTAAGCGCATCCACACCGTCACCGGTAATAAGTCCGACTTTAAGGACCCCCGGCGACTCGTGTAGTACCTCTTCGACTAGGACGACGAGTTCGTACGGCTCCACTAGGACTAGAAGCCCTACCGCACCCTCTACCGCCGCGCGTATACGCGACTCTCCTACGCCCCCTTCGCCGCGAACCATCACCGCCGGTACTTCACGCGCACGTACATCCGGTACCTCTTTAAGTGGCACTGGCTCCTACCCTACCCTCACCGACACGGACTGACCTAGAAGACTAAATAGAGTGCGCGTATATAGTACTCTATCGACCTCGTAGCCGCCGATTTCGACACCATGCCCACGCCCGACATCCTCCATCGCGTCGACCCCGATAAGTAGGTATAGCTCGGGACTCGTAATAAACGGACGCACTAGCTCTACCGCCCGGGATGGACGGCCGACCTCCCCGAGTGGATTTCCTGGATACCGGACTAATAGTCCGAGTAGGTTAAAACATAGGTACGCCGCATCACCGCGACGGAGTGACCGCCGAGGACGTACCCTCACCGGGGGACTCTCCAGCACCACGTATACATATAAATTAAGATCATCTGAGATTCGATCCATCCCTCCCTCTCTCTACGTCTCTCTATACATCATCTCCGGGCGGCGGTAGGAATGGGCTATAGAATGGATCTACTCCGCGTCTCTCCCCCCCTTACCCTCGGATCCATTCCATAGCCTATCTACCGTAACTACCCGTATCGTAAACCGCCCATCACATTATTACTCACCCTTGATTCCTATAACGCCTCGCCCGGTATTAATTAAGAATCCATTTCCACCCCGTTATCCCGTTTATGCCCCCTACTCCGTTTATAGAAAACACGCGCGTACGTACAGGATCTACCATCCCCGTGAATATGGAAACCCATTACTTACTTTGCGAAGAGGATGTCTAATAGTACACACCGAAGTCCGTGTTAGTTGAGGACCGCGACATAACTTACCGTCGACTTACCGTATACGACGCCATCGCGAACGGGCGTACATCCAGTACTACCGAACCAGTCTAGTAGAAGGGATTATAGTACTAGTGGTAGGTCGAATCCGGGGCCGGGTACCCGTAGACCTATAATTTTACCCTAGAATTTCCCTAGATTCCCCGAGTCCGCGCTGATTCGTCAATTATGGACGTATCCTCTTCGCATATCCTAGACGCCTCCGCCTTCGAGGCTCGCGCATTAAAGATTGACCATTAGTACTATTTAGGGTGTAATATACGTCTGTTATTCCCTAGTACGGCTAAATTACATGAGACCCATCTAAGTCGGCCTCTACCGACCAGAGCGTACATGATGGACTGAATGTCTAACTTAGGAAGTCCTGGCATCGGCTTAGAAGACCTCGTAAAGACGGAGTAAACAGGCTGTAGAATGGATCTAATAGCTGGCCACCTCTTCAGCCATAGTCAGGTAGTCTGTAGACTGGATCCATCTCGCTCTAGGGTGTAGTAGAATTCACCTCTGCCTCACCTACCTAGTTATCGACCACCCTTAGCGTCTCTCGCCGTCGCTAATCTATCTCCTACTTTTCAATCTCTCTTTTCTCCTCTTACACTTTCCTAGGACAACCCTTCTTAACTTCATCTAAATCGCTTCATTTTCCTATGTAAACGCTGTCTAATCCATTAAGAGACTCTAGTACAGCCTCTGCCTATCCGTAGCCCAGCCGAGACGCCCTTTTAGGCGCCAGCGACGCTAGATTCGCGCGCCGACGACAAATTCTATGTGATAGGGGCTAAAATCTCACCTAGAGGTCAGTGTTTAGCTCACTAGATCTAATCCACAGCCTATTTACCCTCTCCCTCTCTCCTCTACCACCTACCTCCGGTAGATCCATTCCATAGCTAATGTCTTCCCTTCCCCAGTCTACTAACTACCCCAGTAGATCCATCTCTTACTACCTTTTACTAGTCTTCGGCGATTTTAAAACCCTAAGAGATTCATCGAGGATCTCCTTTTTTATCCTTTTTTTTTTTTCCCCCTTTTTTTTTTGTTAGTTTAGTACTGGTAGCGAGGTGGTTTCATTCCATCTCGCACCTTACTAGGTTTCTGTAACTTCGACAATTTATGAGACCCTCTCCAGATCTTATCCTGACCTTTTTTCTTGTTAGTTTAGCACTAGTAGGGGAAAAGGATCTATAGAAGTTCCATAGTCCATTTTTTTTTCACTCGTAACGGTCCATGGAATGGATCCATTAGATTTCTAAAGTTAACGCCTCCTAGCCTACAACGGCCTAGGGACTGGATCTACGCACCATCTCTCGTTTTTTTTTTTATTTTACCGTGCGACCAGTATATAATGGGCTGTAGAATGGATCTATTCTACGGCCCATCCTACAGCCCATTTAATTAGTATCTATCCCGCGCCCCTTAACTCATTAGATCTAATCCATAGACTATTTTAACTGACTCGAGCTGCTTATAGGAACTAGACACTATATCGTCATTATGGTACCCCGCCGTAAGCGCCGGTCCGGGACTTCCAGCTCTTCCGAGGCGGAACCTACGAAGCGCCCTAAGACAGAATCCAAGACCGCGTTGGAGACACGCGTCGTACATGTCGAGTAGAAGGTTACCAGAATTAAGAAAGCGTACGAAGACCTACTAAGAACTAAAGGCAATAAAGACCGCGCCGCTCAGCTCAAGGAGAAGTATAAAAACACTAAGGCCGCCCTAGAAGAGTTGTAAGAACGACTGAAAAACACCGAAGAAGCCACTGACTAGTCCGACTTATCTGACACCCCGAAGAGCACCACTAAGAAGAGCACCACCCCGAAGAGCACGACTAAGAGCACCAGTCATGTAGACCTTACTAGCGCGGACGATAGCGTAGATTAACCTACGGTACCAGCATCGAAGGCTACGGATAAGGGTAAGTAGCGATAGTCCGAGGCTAAGTCTACCGTATATGTCGATGACTCCGAGGGCGAATCGGATAGCGGCCTCGACCTAGACCCTAAGACCGCTCGCGATAAGGCTATCGCCCGCAACGCCCGGAAGTAATAGAGAGCCCAGGATAAGAAGACGGTTAAGGACTTCGGCTTCACGGACCGCGCGACCGCTATCGCCGCCATAGCCTACAATTTCTATTAGTATCGGATTATCGAGCCCGAGCGAAAACTATAGCGTAACTAGGCCTACATCGCCGGATACCTAGGCTTACCTAATACCTAGGAGCTCGGCCGGGTAGTCGAGTCCTTAAAACCCACTATCTAATCCTTCCTGAAATATAAGCGGGTGGGCTTTAGTGTGCCCGGCGTAGTCGCTACGTCTACGTTCGCCTACGATAAGATTATTAAAGAAATCGCTAAAGGGGATAAGGCCGCGTACAGCTGGAAATAACTGGCCGATGTCAGCCTTACGGAACCCCTATCCCTCGAGGACCCCTACTTCGCTAAATTCGTAGGCCCGACTAAGAAGAATAAGAGTATCTTCCCTAAGGCCGTCTACGTAGCCTAGACGTACAAGATCATTAAGAAATGTCGCGGCCTCTTTAAGGAGTCCTTCGATAAGCCGAAGCCCGGACAGATCCGATAGGGACTCGCCACCGCCGAAGACTTCTATCGCGCCTTCGTCCTACTACGGTTCGCGGTCGGGTATTACGAAAAATAGACCCTACCCGTCTTTAGTAATAAGACGGCGGCCCTAGTACGCTACTTAACCGATGAGGAATTCGCCCGTATATCCATCGACCCGGCTACCGCGGCTAAAGCCCAGGACGTATAGAACCTTAAAGACTAAGTCACCCTCTTATAGGGGGATAAGGAATATCCCGAGTACGATAAGGCGGAACGGATTAATATAGCCACTCTCATCCTTAAAGATGAGACCCTAGATTAATTAGCCGATAATAACGACTACATCTCTCGTAACATCGAGCGACTCTCTAAGTCATCTAAGAAGAAGGTGAGTTTCTCTTATCTATGGAATAGATCCGTTCGCTTTACCCTCGATTACCCGGCTAACGGGCCGTAGAATGGATCCGCTGGATATTCTAACTACTGGATCCATTCTACCGCCCATTAGCCTAGACTATCTATAACTAGCTAGAGGATCCATTCTACGGCCCCCTTTTACTCGTTAGAACGTCCCGTCACTGACTACCTTCTCTCCAGGGCGCGACCGACCGCGTGGTACGACCTCTACTAGACGACGAAACACTTAAGTACTTCTTACTGTCGCTGATCGACTAATGTGACATTATCTACGACTCCTTCACTACGACCTTACCGGGCGACTCTACTTAGTAGAGTGAGGACCTCTCTATAGCCGAGCGCGTCGCCCCCGAGAAGTACTAAGACCCGATGAAACCCGCCGTCCTACACCCGGCCGAGAAGGAATTTTAGGACCTACGGGCGAAGACGTCGACGGTCTGTACGCTAGTTAAAGGGTATCGCGCTGCGGCCTAGGTCTTAGGCATCGACCCCGACTACCGTAAGTTAGATAAGGGCATCTATACTCCACCCACCGATAAAGCTAACCCTACGCCATTTTACCCCAAATACCATTAGGTCATCGGCACGGCATAGTAGATAGATATGGAAGAGTGCCCCTACGGGGGCGGCCTAGTCGCCAAGGACTGCGGACTCGGTAAGACCTCCTAGTACTATACCTACATCTACTACGCGGCCATGAAGAAACTGGGCATTTAGCAGGAGTACCTAGAGCGGCGCGACGATGCCATTACGTACGGCCGCCCGCCACCGAAACCCCCTAAAGTCGATTTTCGACCGACCCTGGTCGTAGCGCCGCCGACTACGTTAGACTCGTAGTATACGGAATACCGCAAACATTAGCGTAGTAAGAGTAGCCGTCCGGTCCTTAACCTCCGCATCTTCTACGGCACCGACCGCACGCTAAGTACCGACGTAGATGAGGACCTTCGCGCCATCATGCTCCCTTCTAACCCCCTGGCCGCGCGGGACGCGATCGAATAGGCTTTCCCGGCCGACGACCCCATATCCGCCTTCGGCATCGTCTAGGTGGCGTATAAGACATATATCAAGCGCACCCTAACCAGCATCAAGAAGTCCATCGAAGATAAGTTCCGTACCACCACCGGCTAACCTAAGCGAGGTTAGTACCCCCCTTCCCGTCCATCATGACGGTCCGTAGCATAGATCCATTCGCCGCCGCCTTCCCGCGGATCCATTCTAGAGACCATCTACTAACCTCTTCTCTATAGATGATGACTCCATCGAGACCCTACCCGGCGACGTTAACGTCACCACTAGTACGGTACGGTCGAAGTACCTACCCAGTCTTAAGGACATTACGCTTAAGGACGCCGATCTACGGCGCATTCGCCGGCTCACTCGTCAGCTCGAGGATGATGTCCAGTTTAATGAATAGGCTACCGCGGACCTCCCCCCGGAGGAAGATGACGCCGGCTTACGCGAGGAATTGGACGACTGTACGGTGTACACGTCCCTCTTTACCGGCCTCTTCTATCGGGTCGTCTACGACGAAGCCTATAAAGTTAAGAACCCTAAGACGATGAACGCGATCGCCATCGAGAAACTATACGCGCCTAAGAAGTAGTTTATCACCGCTACGCCTATAGTGAACCGGGTGTCGGACCTCCTAGAGTACCTGTACCTCCTCTAGAACCCGGCCTGGGAGACGGACCTACGGGACCTGGACGACTTCATCCTACCCACCTAGGCCGAAAAGATCTACTCGTCCCTGGTGATTACCGACGTCAAGGATAAATATCCCCTATATATAGCGAAGTACGACGAGTGGCCCCTATTCGTACTTAACCCCCGCCTGTTCGCCTCGCTCATCAATAACGGTAAGCTGGAGAGTGCTACGACCGCGCACAACGTGCTCCGCACTATTTTAGGTCTCATCCAGCTCCGCTAGACTATAGCGTCCCAGATCTGGCTGGAAGGCCACGACTACTACCAACCGGGGATCAACGTACCCATGTACTACATCACGGGCGTGGAGCTGCGCCAGCGCGCGTACGAAGAGGACGAATACAAGAAAGTATAGTCGACCTTTTCCCGCCACCTCACTAAGGGGGGCGCGGCGGCGGCCAAACCGAGTAAGAAACCGGGCATCGCGCCGTCCGGGCTGCGGGACATGGCCATCCACCGCCACCTCTACCTAACTACGTTCGACGGGCGGATGAATACGCTAATGCTCCGCAAGAAGGGCCTGAAGGGTGCGGTATAGGCGCGCGACTAGACCGAGAATACGGACGACTACGGCTTTACGGAGTACTTTCTAGCCACCCGCCCCTCCCCGACTATCCCTAACTACTACGACCGGCTGGGCGTATACGCCTACTAGGCCGGGGAATCCGCGAAGCTACGGTACCTGGCTAAGTACGTGTACATGGCGATGTAGGGCGACGAAGCGGGCTACTTTACGGGTAAGGTCGTGTTCATGATGAATTAGCTATACATCCAGTAGGGACCGGATAGTTTCCTCCACAACCTGGGGGTGAAATACTACGTCATCTAGCCCAGTACCACGGCGGCGGCGCGCAGCTCGATCCTAGCTAAATAGAACGACCTAGAGGACGACGTGCTCTTCCTGCTACTGAATAGCCGGTCGTCCTCGCTCGGCCTCAACATCTAAGGGGCGTACCATAAGCTCGTGATTTTCGACATACCCGAGAATATCCCTACCGTAACCTAGTCCATCGGGCGGGTGCACCGCCTAGGTTAAGAATACGTACAGTTCATCTAGACCGTGTACGTATTAGGTACGTACGACTAGTGGCTCTACTCTAACGCCACGGCTAAGATGATGAGTTAACTCGCCGGGGAGGCGCGCATGGAAACGTAGATCTCGACCCTCGACCGCGAGCGGATGTTTACGGCGTCGAACGATATAGACCCGACCGAGGCCTACTAAGTGGTAAAAGCGGCCCGAGACGACTTATTCATGGCGTAGGCCGAAGAGTACATTCGCCGGCAGCTGGGTCAGCGCTGCAGCCGCCTACACTGGCGGACGATGGATCTCCACGCACCTCATACCGCGGCGGCGCTAGCCGACACTCCCCATCGCCGCCACTACGCGTACGATCGACTATTCACGGCTGCTACGGCCGGCCAACGCAACCCCATCATCACTCTCCCCGGTAAGTCTAGTCTGTACGGTCCGTGGGATGGATCCATTTACCCGATCTCCCTGACGGATCCATTCTACGGCCCCCCCTCCCCCTTTTATCCGTGCCCTCGCTGACCCTCCCGATTTCTCCAGATCGCCCCCTACCTAGTACGCCCTCTCGTACTCGACCCGGTCTCACCAGCGCGGTGGACCACTCGGTCGGCCTCGACACCCTAGTTAAGCGTGGCGTGACGATGGACTGGCGGGTCGACGAGGTGGAATACGTCCCTCGACTAAACCGGTTCCGTAGCGCTCGCACGGAGGAGTGGATTGACGAAGTGTCGACGTAGGTGGAACACCTCAGTAGCGGCATGATCGTAGATCCCGAGTCTGGCCTCCTGTACCGCCCGGACGACGACACGTGGTAGGATAAGACGACGCAGGACCCCGTAGCGCCTCCGGCGATCGTACCGGGGTGGCAATTTAAGCACGGTAACTTAGGGCTGGAAGACATGCGGCGGCGATGCGGCCTCCCCCCACGCGCGGCCCTCGAGGACGAGGTCGCCTTCGGTGGCGCGGACGACGATACCGACCACACTAACGATGACGACCCTAACGACCTCGAAGATGGCGAGATCCGCGAGGAGGAGGGCGAGAGCGGCGGGACGGCTATGGACCCCCGCGGGCCGACCGACGCCACGACCCAGGACGCGCCCGTTGAGTCGTTTAGTGAAGGTAGTGAGACTACGGTAGCCGACGATAGTATGTATGGCGATAAGGATGGCGCGGCCGAGGACAACACGGACGACAAAGAGGCGAAGGAGATTAGTGACAGCCCCACCACGCCGCACAGCGAGCTAGTGGATCGAGGACGCCCTCTAGTGGCGCTCCCGGAGGACTTAGATACGGACACGGATACGGCGGCCGCGAGAGCGGGGAACGAGGAAACGGCGGCGGGCGAGGGCTAGGGGCCGCCACCTAGCAGTATAGGGGAGATAGTGTATAACCAGGTCGACGGGGTGGAGGATCCATTTATTTGATGGGCGTCGGCGCCGGCAGCGGGGCGTGAGCATGGAGCATACACCGTTCAGCCTACACCATTCAGCATGCGACTTTCAGCATGCGACTTTCAGCATGCACCATTCAGCAGGTAACATTCAGCAGGCAACTTTCAGCGTGCACCATTCAGCAGGCGACATTCAGCATGCACCATTCAGCATGCACCATTCAGCCTGCGACTTTCAGCATGCGACATACAGCAATCAGCAAGGGATTCAGGGCCTGAAGTATAGAGCTGGAAGCATCAAGGTGAGAGCATCGAGCATGAATACGGCAGACAGGAGCGTACGGAGCATAAGCGAGTATAAGTACATGAAGGACTGGGACTGCGGAGGTACATTAAGTATATTAGAGGGTAGAGCTAGGAGAGGGATTAAGGAGTCTTACTACTTAGGGCGGGATTTTTTTTTTAATTTCGCTTTTTTTTTCGTGCCTATAGGACGTAGCTGGGTTAGAGATACGGTAACTAGCTAGGCGGCGGTGAACCGTAAGAAATAGACGACGATGAGCAGTCTCGAGGTAGATAGAATAGATGCATTACTACCAGTAGCGGGGCGAGTACGAGGAGAGGAGGAGAGGTGGGATGTAGAATAGATCCATTCCACAGACGTACTAGAGAAAAAAAAGATGGGAGATTAAATGGATCCATTCCACAGATACGCTGAAAAAAAAAAAGACGGGAGATAAAATGGATCGATTCCACAGGGGTAGTAGAAAAAAAAAACGGGTAAAGATGGGAGACAGAACGGATCCATTCCATAGGCATACTAGGAAAAAAAAAGACGGGATATAGAATGGATCCATTCCACAGGCATAGTAAGAAAAAAAAAAAGATGGGGGATGAAATGGATCCATTCCACTAGCATGGTAAGAAAAAAAAAAGATGGGGGATGAAATGGATCCATTCCATAGACATGCTGGAGAAAAAGAAAGACGGGGGATAAAATGGATCCATTCCACAGACGTACTGGGAAAAAAGAGATAGGATATGAGATGGATCCATTCTACAGACATGTTGGAGAAGGGGAGACAGGAGGTCTAATGGATGCATTCTACCACCCTGCTCGATGGTACCCATCGAAGGATTCCAAGATTTTTTCTATGATGGGTACTAAGGAAATAGAAAGTCGAATATCTCTTAGTACCCATCGTAAAAAACGACGGTTTTTTCGATTTTTCCGCTTATTAAGGTCTATTCTTCGATAATATCTACTTAGATAGACTCTCCGTATCGTAGATGGACTAATATAGTCTTAACCCTAGAGGGTAGATCTATAGAAGATCAAAATCGCGAATATCTCTTTAACTAGAAATTT